TGGAAACCCACACGAAAGCCTTCTTTAATTCCTCTTAAGATATAAGCCACATACTCTTTGTCTGGGTGATCTTTAAGTAGTTCCGCCCACGCCTCCAGAATTAGTGGGGTAGAACTTCTCCCCATCACCTCTCGAACCTGTGGTGGGCGGTAACTGTCCAGCTGTGAGAGGTGAGTGGTATACTGATGACAGCCCTCCACCACCATACCCCTGAGAAAGCCAAGGCCTAGAGAGAGGGAAAAACAGCAGAAGGATCACACCCCATCTAGGTGGAGCTGCCACACCTCCCTCCCCCCGACTGCCCCCTCAAGATTCCCCCTCACTGGCCTACCCCCACCATGGGGAGATTGGACTACTGCTTTTATGCAGTTAGCTATGTCACTGTCTGTGTTCAGAGTGTACGGGAAGAGGTGACTGTCTAGGATCTGATATGGGATACTCAGTCTTCCCAAGTGAGTACCCACTCAGTACCCCTTATTCCTTAATTTTGATACCCTAACTAGATTTCCATCCCTTGCACTTGGGTCTTATTAACTATTTCCTCCTGATTGTGTGTGAGTTCTCTCCACAGGCTGCTGTGCAGTCCCCTTATCAATGGGACACTACCCCAGCCTTACCTTATATTACCTATATTATAGTTAATGTATCTTTTCTTAGGCAACAGGTATATTATTTACCTTTGCCCATATAGGGGGACCCCCTACCTGAGCTTCTAATAACTGTCTGTGCTTAATGGTATTCATTGTATTAATTCAATCACAATTGTTTTTATCATTAAATTAACTTTATCAACAAATCAATTTAAATCACCGGGAGTAATGATGAATGAAGTTACTGTTCTGGAGGGATGAGCCTCCCCGTGAGTCACTTGGCTCTCTTTGGTGCCTGAGGGCACTCCCCTGCAATGTGGTCATCTGCTGCGCAGTACCAACACACATGCTCAAAGAAGCATTCCTGCTCTGTCCTCCCACAGGAGATCTCAAAGTTGTGCTTGAAACAAGCTTTGTTCTTCCCCTTGGATTTTCGAGGCTCTTTCTTAAACTGGGCTTGAGGTTTCTCAAATCTCCTCTCTCTCTCTCTGTGCTGCTCGGGGTTGGAGTGCAGAGGCACCGCCCATAAATGGACATGTTGACCTCGCCCCAGATTCTTTTTCCTGATGCAGCAGCCCATTCACGATACTGTTGGTCATATTGTAACCATTTGAGACTGCCTAAATCCTTACCCAACTGGATGACAGACTGCATATGGGCCAGCAAGCCTGCCGCCTCCTCTCTTGTGGTGGCCTCTGCTGATACTAGCACTGCCACCAGGATGGCATAAGCCTGGGACCATGTAGCAATGTCCCCAATTCGTTTCTTCTTTCTCCTCACTTGGTCCACTGACTGAACCAAAATGATTCTGTCCTCTGACAGACTTAAAGATTCCTCCTGCTTGTGGGCAACTCCTGCCAACAGGTCTGCCAGGTCCACATAACACCAGCCCCTGATCCTCTCTACAAGCTTTGCCGGTACCGGTGGGATCCCTTCCGCTACCAGTATGGCGTCTGCTTTCACAGGGTGTGAGGAGGACTCTATGTCATTCTTTGGGAGGAGGTTCGACAACGTGAGGCTTGCTCCTGCCTCCAAGTCGCTGTCCACCCTCAAGTTAAGACTTTCGTCTTGACCTATATGAAAGGGAGCAGAATAACACAGCTATCACCTAGCTGCCTGCCCCTTTTCACACTCTCATTCTTCGCCCCTTCCCGGGCATACCTCCAGCTGCCGAGCTCACTGCTCGCGCAGCCCTTGGTATCAAATATCCTGCGGCCGTGAAGCCACCTCTCTACTATCTCTCAACCCAGTCTCGACTGTTACTCGCTTTCTCACTCGCCTACCTGTATCTGGGATGCCCTGTTGAGCGGGCGTACCGGGATGGCCCTGTCCATCCTGAAGCGGGTTTTCCTGGCGTACCAATCTGGCCGCCATCTCCGCAATCCTCTGCATGTCGTCCTCGGAGATACGGACCTGTTGCTGAATAACCTGTTCACGAACGCCCGCTTCCTCGGTTACCACTGCCATTCAAAGACCCGGGACCGAACCAGACTAGAAAATGAAAACTCCACGTAAGAGAGATAGAGAGCTGTTTCTGTCTCACAGAAGAACTAGAACATGTGCCTACTGAGCATGCGCCTTGTCCTCTCCCCAAGCT